ACTTCAAAAAATAAACAAGGTGCTACAACTGAGTGACAGCCTAGAGTCTGTTGCCAAGGATTGGAGACACCTAGGTTTTTAAGATGTAGGATTCCAAAGGATTCTTATTTGGTTGCCCATTTCACTCTTTCCCTTTGGGTGTCACATACTTATTTCTAAGTCTTTTCTTTAAAGAATGAGTGAGTGAGCGAGTGAATGTGTGAGCGACTGAATGTGTGAGCGAGTGAATGTGTGTGAGTGAGTGAGTGAGTGAGTGAGTGAGTGAGTGAGTGAGTGAGTGAGTGAGTGAAGTGAGTGAGTGAGTGAGTGAGTGAGAGTGAGTGAGTGAGTGAGTGAGTGAGTGAGTGAGAGAGAGAGAGAGAGAGAGAGAGAGAGAGAGAGAGAGAGAAGAGAGAGAGAAGAGAGAGAGAGAGAGAGAGAGAGAGAGAGAGAGAGTGAATGAGTGAGTGAATGAGAGAGTGAGTGAGTGAGTGAGTGAGTGAGTGAGTGAGTGAGTGAGTGAGTGAGTGAGTGAGTGAGTGAGTGAGTGAGTGAGTGAGTGAGTGAGTGAGTGAGTGAGTGTACATGAGTGTGTGTGTAAGTGCTTACGCACATATGCGTGTATAGCATGACTTCAGACATTTCTTGAGTAAACTCAGTAATCTAACAATGAAATCATATGAAATTATGGCATAAACTGACAAGATAAAGACTTCATATGACTGGCTAACAGATGAGTGTTGCACTGAATGACATTGTATTAAACAAATTTCTCTCTACTACATGTTATATGATTAATAATTATGTTTCTGAGTTTATAAAGTCATACAGGGGTCCCCGCTATTCGTCATTTCACTTTTCATCACTGATATTTTGTGGATGCATGTTTGATTTTTTTATGATCTTTTTGAATGTCAAAATATTTTTTAACAATTCTTTGCAAGCATTTGGCATTATTTTAAGGAAACATATGCAATGCACTGACTCCTTCCTCATCCGTGAGAGATAACTTGTCTATTTGGAAATGTACACACATAAATTGCTCTTGGAAGTTATTTGTTTAGCCATAATAAATAAGAAATACTGTATCACAAAACATTCTGGGGTATAAGGACTTAAAAAACTTAAAAGCAAAATAATCTAAAACAAACTAAACTTCTTTTCTTTAACAGCATCATACCTCAACCACTCATGATTCCTTGACAAGGAACCTGGTTGAAAATTAATATAGCTTGACCCTCTTTCCTGTCACCTCTGCCACACACTAGTAGCCACCCCTCTAAACTTGTACTGTGAGCAACATCACACCATTTTCTCATACAACATTTGCCTTTCTCTTTTGCATTAACTTTTCTTTAATAAAAACTTAGGTATTATTCTTTTTAGTAAGCAAACTATATGCTTAAGCCAACCACTGGGTATTACAGTCCTAGTCCCCACTGCATGTTTTTGTAATGTATTCCTATGTGATATTGTGTATTGGTAATTGTCAATTTATTTTCAGTTGCAGTTTTCTGGTCCATATTAACAACAAGTAATGGGGATCCCTGTACCATGAATTTTCTTTTTCTTTTGACTACCACCAAAATCCCAACTGGGAAAGTCATTTGAAATATTACCAAACAAATGTGGAAAGAATATTGCACTTATAAACAAATATTCCCTTTTGAAATTTCTGTACAAACAGTGAGATAAACTTTCCCTATAATCCTCATACTAGAAAAAGAGAATTTTGACTAGTATATTCTTGAAAAAATGACGAGTTATCCATTCGTATATCATATCCCTGTAACCACTTTCAGGTGTGCATATGCATTGCTATCACAATAACAGATGTCACAATGGGATGACATGCCAAATCTCTTAATTTCGGATAATTCTCAGCAGCAGGAAAAACAAAATCTATGTTGTCTCAAGCAAAATCAGGAAGACAGGAATAGGTCAATGTAAAGGGACAATAGTGAGCATGAATGTTCTTTGCAACCACGGACTGTGGGCCAAGGCTGAGGTATCACAAACTCATCTACAACACCAGTATTTGCATCAGACAACACTAGCTGAAATGCAGCTTTGCTTTCTCAATAAGCACCAGTATGATGACCTAATGTATGGTAATGTATAATCATTACAGATGCTGGAGTGATCAGAAGTAGGATTATCACATTTTTTCTGAGGAATTAATGTTCTAAGTACTTAAGAAGTTTTCACAGAAGTTTATCAAATAAGTTTTGAATCACTTTTGACTATTCATTCTGTAGTAGACTAAACCATCTCTTTTCTACCAAGGAGCAAATCCGTACAAGTAATAAAGATCAAATAAGCTCTAAACCCAGCAACACGATAAACAAAAGTGAATTAAAGTGCTCTGTGAACCATATCAATCTTTGTTTTCCATTCTAGATTCATATCTAGTAATGTCACAATGGGAAGATCAAAATAGTTCTTCCCTGAGGCATGGAATTCTGCTATTACAGTGGCCAAGTAGCTCAACTAATCTATATCAACTGAAAGAAACAATTCCCTCACATGGCAATGCCTCACAGAAGCAAATACATTAGCACCAAATCCCCAAAGAAACAATAAAAGAAATGTCTCAAAACTTTGAATCAACTGTTAATGTTTAACCCATTGGTAGTGGATGGCATGATTTGATGCAAAGTGCCATAGAGGGCCGATCCCACAGAGCAGCAGGTGCACGGGGAGCAGCGCAGGCTGAGGGGATGTCAGTCACCAAGGGGGAGGCCCCCTTGTGGCCTGCCTCCCTGGGCCTGTGTGTGTGATAGGATTTTACCCATCACAGGGGTTGAACGCCTTCGGCACCTGCTACAGCCAAGCCCTTCACTCTCTCTGCGTGCATTTACATATGTTTGCGTGCTTGCATGTATCTGCAAGGGTTTATATATACATGCACAAACATATATGTGCCAAGGAGGAAAAGCAGTACCGCCATAGAGGGTACATTCCTGCATAGTCTCCCACACCACCCGAGCATAAAATAAATAATGCTACAGGACTACGCGCCATATTACATAATACTGCAACCAATGAGTTAAGCTGATTCATTTACCTGATATGCAACTGTTCAAAAAGGATTATGATTTCATCCTCAGCCAAAATGTCTCCAAATGTTCTCATCATAAAAGAATGCCATTGATCAAAGGGGGGAAAGTCTATTTCACTGATTGTAAAAGCAAAGTAACACCTTTGCATAAAGAGTCAAAAAATAAATAAGATCAAAATAGACGCATAAATTGCACCCCATATTATACATATCATTAAAATTAATTAAATCTGTGCAATACACACACAGCTGAAAATTATGCCAAAAAATTGGATTTCTTTACCACTTTCAAATCCATCACCAAACATATGAAACAAGAAGTGGAGTGAGTGTTAGATCCTCTAAAGATCACAGGGATTAGCTTCTGTTTTGATTGCAAGTTTAGACAAAGAGGTACTTAAATACCATTAAACAGGGCTTCCAAAGTATAAATAATTTATCCTACTTCCTTTTTTTTTGCAAATAGCATTATATCCAAACATTTATTCCCAGGAACTTTAAATATCCTCAATATATCAAACCCAAATGTTTTCTCAGATGGCAGCCAGACAAATGGGCCATAAATAATTAGCATGAAACACTATTGTAGATAGTCTATCGTACACTAATGAAAATAATAAAAATATATTACCATGTGAAACTATTTATGCCTAATCATAAACAGTATGGTAATTCAAAAATATATGTATCTATTGAGTTTAATATACAAAAAACAAAGTAACTTAACCTGATAGCCTACATAAAAATACAGACAGTAGCAAGAAGAGAATCTATCTCCTGTAAAAAAAAAAAAAAAAAAAAAAAAAAAAAAAAAATGTAAAATAAAATATAATAATTCTTTGTCAGCACAACTTTTTTACATAAAACACACGCTTCGTCTTTGGTAATCATTTTGTTTGTATACTAAAAAGTGAAGGTAGAACATATCTTCTATTCTTAACATCACAGTGCAGTCAACACCCATCACAAAATTTAGGTCTTCCACAGTAATAATATTTTATCATCACAGTTTAGGAGTAATATCATTATATTAACATGTTGATGTGATAAAGAGTAATTGATGAAAAAATGAAACTTAAAATAACTGAAAAAGTTATCATTACTTCATGCAGCCAAAGCAAAACCTACAGAAAATTACACGAGTGGTCTCCTAGAGCTAAAGCTTCAAAACAAGATGAAAACACGTTAATACTGAAATTTGTACAGAAAGACAAATACTATGGCCCTTAATCTTAACATCATGACCTGTTAAAGTCAATATGAAAGCATGTTCTATCCATGTCAATATCAAATGTGTGGCATACAAACTAATCAACTTCTGAATAAGCAAACGGAAAAAAAAAAAATTGTGGGCCAATTGCTGCCAATTATATAATACAAAAGCAATTAAAATAAGCAAGTTCCTTTTGCTGGTACTGAGGCTTTGCTTAAACGAACCATAATAAAACACTGTAATCTGCTAATTTTTCAGAGGCTATTTCACTACAGTACCTAAACATATAAGCCTTTGAAATATGCATTTATATCAGATATCTTTAATGAAAAATGTATGTATACTTCATACTTTTAAAAAAAAATTGCTCTCTATCATAATAATGTACTAAAAATATACATATACACATGATCCCAAACTCTCAAAGCCTGTGTTTCCATCTGCATATGAGTCTGCATGTGTGTATGTGTCAGTTATGCAATGGGGTAAGCAAATGTCTGTGTGCATGCGTTTATGAATGCATCTGTATAAAAGTGTAAGCATGTGTATTATTGTGTTTACATGTGTGTTTAAATATGTGATTACATGTGTATTTATGTACGTATGTACGTCTGTGTGTGTGTGTGTGTGTGTGTGTGTGTGTGTGTGTGTGTGTGTGTGTGTGTGTGTGTGTGTGTGTGTGTGTGTGTGTGTGTGTGTGTGTGTGTGTGTGTGTGTGTGTGTGTGTGTGTGCGCGCGTACGTGTGCGTGCGCGTGCGTGTTTATTTGCCCAGTGTGTACTTGTTTGTATTTGCATTTGTATGTACACTATCATGAGAACCAATGTTTTGTTTGTGACCAGTGAAGAGTTCATCAAAGGCTACAAATTGGTTACACAACCAAGTCTTTGTCTCCTTACTCTCATGTTTTTTTGTACTTGTCATATGCCAGAAATACAGTGGTATAAAATAAAAATAAAAAAATATTTACTAACGATGTAACATTTGCATAACGTTGCTGAGGCTTAAGTTTGTGTACTGTTAACAACAGAACAGGGTGAATAACATTATCATTCGCACAAATGAGCCACCAAAGAAAAAATATAAGATAATGATTGGGTCTTAGGTACTGCACAATATCTCAGAGATGAACACTGAAAAATTGAAAAAAGCCCTTGAATTTTGAGGTGACAGGTAAACAAACAAGACAAGATCTCTTGTTAATAGTTCTGAGAGCAGAAGTGACATTTAAACACCTGCATAACGAGGAGATGGTAGTACAACAAATTTTTGAGCATGAAAAGGCTCGCATGCCATAAAAAAATTTAAAAAAATAAAAAAAATTCTTTTAGTTTTTATGTTTTAGAATTACAATACTCACTGTATGCTACAATGACAGAGAAACCATCTACTCTTATATAGTTCAGATTCTGACTGGTTCTTATATGGTGTTTATACCATTGCCTATTTATTATTAGAACTTCACATGTATAATAACGTT